TACAGTATCCTGGTTGCATTACTCAGACAAGACAGTAGCTGTGCAGACATCTCTCATGATTTGCTGTGTGACAGCCTCACTGAGGCCCACTTGCAGAGGGAATCATACACAGACATATGTTGCAGAAGCAATGACTCACACATGCACAGAGACAATCGTGCACTCAGCAGCCCTCAAAATACGTGTCATGAATACACATGTCTGACTCCCTGGTTCCCCCATCTCTCTCTGTCTCTGTGTGAGTTTTATTGAGTTATTGAAACTCAGTCTCTAAGGTGATGTTGCTCAGGTCAGAAGATCTGCTTCTGGGACTCCTGTTACACTCCCAAAGGGCCACTGGGATCAGACTGCACGGGACAAGTGACCCCAGCATGGACACCTTTAACTTCAGTGTTATTTTAACCCAGTCATTAATGTTATGATGCGCTTAGGCTGGTTTTTACTGTGCAGACTGTTTCCAAATAAAGGTTTCTGATTTACCACATTATTTTTATATTTATTTTACTCAGAAGTGTCCACTTCCAGATCATCAGTGATGTTTATTTGTAGAGTGCAAAGGCAGATAACCTGCAAGTGGTGAGACAGTGAAACCTGGTATAAAAGCAATTATTTCCCCTCAATGTTAACCTCTGGGAATTACATAAAATAATGAAACAGAAATTAAATGATTCCTCTTTACACGCATGCACATGCCTTCCATAAAAACCCCTCTTTAGGACCCCTTTGGAGGTCTCCGGACCCCACTTTGGGAACCACTGTCCTAAACGCCTTATCAAATTGTTGCATTTCAGCCTCCCATATGGCCACCGGGATCACAGAAAGCACCTGCTCTGAGGCCCTGTCCCCGGACACCTTCTAGTTTTTATGGAGGCTGGCTATTAACACAATCACCGCTATCGGATTGCGCGTCTCTCTTTACGCACGGCCCCTATCGAGTTTCCGTGCGTCAAGGCGGATCAAAGCGAACAAGTCGAGATGACAAATTCCGCGAATGTTCCCTTTTTTTCAAAAAAGTCACGGAGCCGGTAAACAGGATTCAGATGGCAGAACAACATTTTCATTATATTTAAAAAAAAAAGTTATAGCTGGCCTAACAGGAGACTTTAAGCTGTCTGACTGTGGTCATATGCGCCACAGTAACGCAAAGTTTTCTAAAAGAGGAAACCTGGAGCAGATGCTGTGTTTCATAAATGTCAGACACTATGTGAAAGTAAAGCTGAGCAAAAGAAGCTAATGTTCTATCAGCGGAGAATAATTTAACTGTAAATATCAATTCTTTCAAACTGAAATTTAAAAACTGTGTTTTAAAACAAGAAACACGCAATTTAAACTATGGGTTTAAAAGTACAAGCCTGCTTTCATTTTACTGGAAAATAACCAAGTGTGGATATTTTTGATAATTTTGTGCTAAACTTCAGATTTTCCACGCTCTTCTAAAATCAATAAACCTTAAAAATCGCAAAGCGCCAGCAGCGGGCAATACCATCCACAAGGAAAGAACATAGATTTAGCATATATTTCTATAATACACTGTTTAAAAATTGTATTAATTATTAAATTTGCCTAAGATATGGAAATGATTATCTACAGCTTTCCAAAACGAAATCTACATATTTCTTCTGAGGGTAAAATACCCGTACCTGTTGCAGGTTATAGACTGGAGCGCCACAATATAGGCGTGTTTTCCCAAAAAAAACGTAAAACAACGAATTCCAATTGAAAGGAATGGTTAAATTTAAATTTTAAACTTTCCCCTTTAATCTGCGTTATTACTGCACGAACCAAAATAAAAACATTTAACGTTAAATGGAGCAGTGAAAAGCTTCTGTCTCTCAATATACAAAGGAGCCATACAGCAAGTATCCATTCTATTTCTGCGATCTGAAAATCTTTCAGTTTCTTTATATGGGCTCTGTGTGCAAGCAGTTCCCGGTACACGTGGTTGTCCATGTTTGGCCCCTGCTGCTCTCGCTGTCTGCGCTGTTTTCACACGGCAGTGATTTTCTGTATACACACTGAATATCTACACTTGCTTTCCTCCATTCAGAGGTCTCTGTCCGCCTGCTGCCCGTCAGCCTATTTCTCCTCCACCACCACCACCAAGCCTCTGAATCACTGTAGCAAAAAAACTGACCTACTTACCGAGTTGCAGAGCTGCATCTCTTCTCCTCTGCCTCTTAATGACCTCCACTCTAAACCTATCTGACATTAGGCTATACGCAATAAAAAATGACATTCTTTTATGGTCCCCACACTGCAAGTTATGCATCGCATAAACTAAACTAAACCGATTTTTAACTCGTGAAATAGATTATGGTTGATTAAAAGTGGTGGGCCAAAAAGTTATTTGAATCAATATCAAATTGATTATAAGTAAGCATTTAGCTGCTATATACAGAATATTTTATGAGGAGTTTTTAATAGCATGAAATGATATTAATGTTCTCTAATTTCCCCTAATAAACATCCACTGCTCTCCTTTCACTGGGCCTTGATTTTTTCTTTTTTATATGTGCCCTGCAAGCAAAGAGGATTACCATGTGCTCCCTTTGTGACTGTTTTCTAATTACTTCTCTGTAGTGATAAAACGATGTTAGCCGAGACAGGCTCTTGTCTGCCTCACTCATTAAAAAAAAGAAAAAAGAAAAAAAGAGCAGCCCTACCCTCTTCTCCATGCGACCCGACAGCCAGTCCTACACCGGGGATGATGATGCGCTGCTCGGCTAGCGCAGCGTGCTTTGCTCCCTTCCTCTGCCTTCCGGGGTCCTGGAAATAAAAGTGCATTTGTTTTTATATTTATTGTGAATTAAGTTGTAATTGTAAGAACAGCCCATTGGATTCAACAACAGCGTGAGGTATTGGATATAAACACTTAGGACCTGCTCCGTGTGTGTGTGTGTGTGTTTACTCCGAGTCCATCGTGCTTTATATAACAACATAACGACGGGACTGGAGGTTTTATGGCCGGCTGATATTCTATGGAGGACCTAATGCTTTATAGTAAGATAATAGCTAATAAACGCTATAATAATCCCAGCAGCCCATTAAACGCTATTGCCGGATGAGGAGGAGTAATGCGAGGCTCAAATAAATGGTGTAAAATGTCCCACCGAGACGTAAACGCTCGCCGTATCCTGTCCTGCTCGGGCCGTGTCCGGTGTAGTCCACAATCCCCCGGTGTGAAAGGGAGCGGCGGCTTCCTGCAGCGCCTCGCCTCCGCCTGGTGCGCGTCTCGCTCCGGATCGCAGAGCGTCGGGATGCTCGGTGCTGTGGAAGACGGACTCACAGACAGCGTCCCTCCTTTCCCCCCAGTTTTTTTCTTCTTCTTCTTTCTTTCCTGGCTCCTCGCGTTTGGCTGTCCGCTCAGCATACGGCGACAGGCTGGAAAATGTCACGGCTGGGAATGAGCAATGGTGTTTTCAGCCTCCAGAGGGGAGAAGGAGGAGGAGGAGGAGGTGCAGAGAAGGAGGAGGTGGAGTGGTGGTGATGGTGATGGTGGCGGTGTGCGGGGAGGTTTCGGAGGGTCAAAACACGACGGGGTCTCTTGCCCCCCCTCATCCCTCCTCCTCCTTCTCCCTTTCCTTCTTTTCCCCTCCTCCTTATCCTTATCACACACACAAACGCCAGAGAAGAAGAAGAAGACGCAGACCCCCTCGATCGCTTTTTTGTTTTTATCTCCGCGCTGATTTCACTCCTCCACCCCTCCATCCTCCCCCTGCAGCTGCGCGGTTATCATCTCGGGATAACTGGGGAGAAGAATAGCGATAGCTCACACTGTTTAAGAGAATCTATGAAAATCCAGACACTTTGAAGGTGTGTGATCACCTTCACACACACACAACAAAGACATTTCATTAAAAACGGTCTCCCTCTGAAATATGGGCACTTTGATCACATGTCCAACAATTAGGACTTGAATTAGAAAGAGAAAGCTGTAGAAAAATAACGCTGGTTTGCCTTCGGCGGAGTTCATCTCCACTAATTATAGGATTAAAGTTGGTCTCGGTGAAGCTGTCCCTCCTGTAGCCTCATAAATAAGTTGGGAGCGTGCTCATGACATTTACAGGCTCACAGTGTTTTGCTGTTTTTGTTGACGTTCATTCAAGGGCAGCCTTTTGACCCAAATCAAATGCACCCCTTTTGTCCTCTTTCTTAATTGTTGTTGTTGATTGAAAGACGTCCGAAAATAAAACCATTACGCGTAACTTTCATTTTAACCAGAAAGAGAGAAACAGAGAGAGGGGGGAACCTTTCAGATGTTAGTGGCATAGCTAAACTCACCGTCTTGTGTTGTAAATGACATCTAAGTAACATGATAATTATCCAAAACGTTCTTTTCCCCCGGGCCCTGCTGTGAGGGGCCAACAGGCGGCTGCTTTTCAATCAGCAGCGGCTTGGCGGGGATCAGGAGGCCGGGGCAGGCGGCTCTGTGGGCGGCACGGTGTTTGGCCGTAGGGCCGCCTGCGAGGGCCCCGCGTCGTCCCTGCAGCCGGGGAGGGCTTTCAACTCCGCAGGGTGCTGCTTTCCTACGGGGGTGATCACAGAGCTCGAGCCCCCTCCTACACTGAGCCACGATGCCATGTCAATGGGCTGAAAAAGGCGATCCAAGGCTTGTTTTCTCTTTAACAGGTTAAATGAAAGGATTAACACAGAAGCGTGTAACATCTGATGGATTCATCTTCGCAGGGCTTTAGCTTTTCCTCGAACCCTTTCCACAACACAAATAGCCTACTGAATTAACATCAGTTAATTTTTTTTCAAGCGCTTAAGACTAGTGACCCGGATGGCTGACGACATACACGAACATCAAAAGTTATTGATTTCTTGATCAGATCTTGATCCGGATTTTTCTCAATCATTTGCCTGAATTGAACCATAAATCTTCGCACTCTATCCAACAGGCTGTTTATCTAAACACAGATAACAGCCATTTACATCACAAACACTTAAACGACCCATCACTTTTATCACAGCTGTAACACCTCCTTTCACTCACAGCATAACAACACGTTTTAGCACAACATATGTTATTAAGTTTGTGTTAACGGGTAACACGGCTGATCTGAATGTTCTCACGGAGGCACACAGAGATGCCCCAAAATAACTCACAGAGCAAACTGCAGGGTAGCATTTATATTCACCATCAGCTGGTGGCTTATCAACATTCATTAGTGGTTTATTAGCTCTTCATTAGTCATTATACAACACTTCCCTTGTTCTGCACAACCAGATTGTAAGTTAGTAAGACTTTTCTCCTTATAACGTTATTGCTTAATAAGTGAAAAACTAGTTATTGGAAGGAGGTCTCTTTAAATTTTCAGAAACAGACAGACTTAATTTAACACTACTAACTACAGAATATTAGATTAAATATTCTGACATCAATTAATAAATGGCACATTAAATGTTAGTTTAACCTCTCTCTAACAGGTATTTATTGTTTACAAACCATGAAATAATAGTTGGTAGTACTTGGTGATTATTTAATAATTGAACATCATATAAATAGGTATTGTAAGTTCACAACTACTGCTTATCAAACTCTATAAATGATTCATAAAGACTGTGGAGTGAACATAATTTGTAAAGTAAACTTATATTAAAAATGCTTTTGTTAAAAAATGTGTAAGAAAGCAGGTAGAGTGGAATCATAAGACTCCAAACATGACGTCTGTGGCTCATTGACCTCCTTCAGTCACTGTTTTTTTTTTAATTTCTGCTTTGTGTTTATGCTGCCATCTGTTTGGTTATGTTTAGACTTGATTAGGTTGAGAAAAAGATCGTGATTTAGGCCGAAATACAATGCAAGCAGCAGTATCTGACATCTTTAGACCAGTGAGGTCAGGCTCACTGCTCAGTAATGAAATAACGTTCATCATCAACAAATACATAATATGGTATTTATAAATATTATATGTAGTGTAAGTGTAATTGAATGCTATCCTTACTGTCTATTATCAGCTATTCAATTAACTATCAGTTTAGACATAAACCC